TCAATTTCAGACAATGCTGTGAAGAAAGGGGATTTCCAGACACTTTACTGTGTCCATGTGGAAGCTGTGCATAGACCACGAACCTGCATGTAGGCCAGAACAAAGGGAACGCTGTGTGGTCAAGAAAGGGCGGCTTGGACTTGCTTCCTTTCATGATTTTTATTCAGTCTGTATGCTGACCAAGTAAGTGGAAAGTCTGGAGAATGAGAATGTGCATCAGGTTGGCAGGAAAAACAACTCCCAGCCTGCAATGTACAGATTCCTAGCCTTGCTTAACTAAAAAAACAAAACAAACAAACAAAAAAAACCCAAACCCACACACAAACAGGTGCTGATGAAGATGAGAGACTTGAGCCTGCAGTGTTGGTTACAGGGCAGCACAGAGAAAACAAAAGCCTTCCCAATCAAGCAGTGAGCAGCGTTGGGGCAAATGGGGAAAGATTGAAGTTGTCAAGCATTTTGTTTTACTTGGATTCACAATCAACACCTATGGAAGAAGCTGTCAAGAAATCAAAGGGCGTATTGTGTTAGGCGAATCTGCTGTGAGGACCTCTTTAAAGCACTACAAACAGAATGTCGTTTTGGAAACTAAAATGTTCTTTCTCCAAGCCAGGGTCTTTCTGTGTGCGTTAGACGCTTACGAGTATTACAAAAGGAAGAAGGCCAAATAATTGATGCCTTTAGATTACGCTGTTAGCAAAAAGAGTAAATGGACCATGTGCTGACAGAATGATGAACAAATTTGTCTTAGAATCGGTACAACCACATAGCTGTCTAGAAATGAGGATGGAGAGACTAAATGAGCAGAGGAGAGGGAGACCCTTCATGAGATGAATTGACATTGACGGCAGCTATGGGCTCAGGTGGGTCAGAGGTGATGAGGGTGACTCAGGACAGGACAGGATTCAGATCTGTTGTTCACAGAGTCTCTAGGAGTTAGTTGTACTGGACTCGAAAGCACCTAACAGTAACTCCATTGGTCTTGTCATCAGGAGGGAGCAATCCCTGGAAAATCTTGGTCCTTGGTAGAGTAGTAGTTGTTGTTGTGCCATCAAGTCCAAAATGACTCATATCTGATCCCCCAGCATGTTTTCAGATGCATTCATTCACACGGGAGGAGGTTGTCCACGTTTCTCCCATGGGGCAGCAGGTAGGTTCAAACCATAAAGCTTATCCCTAAACCATCAGCTCTCCCTTGGTAAAACAGAGGATCCATGAAAAAGAGGCTGGTCACCAACGAGGATGATTGAAAATACATACAAAACCATGGGCTCAAACGTCAGAAGAACTGTGAGGAAGGTCCAGGACTGGACAAGGCTTTGCTCTGTCGTAGCAGGTTTCCGTGAGTGGGAACCATCTAACCACCACAATCACTAGTGCTGCTGAGTCCAACAGAGCTCTGGCAGTGTAGTTCCTTGGGAGTCGTGCAACCAACGCAAAGACTCTGTGATGGTTCACATTCACCATCAGCTCCACAGAGAAAGACAGGCAATCTCCTCTGAAACCCAGCTGAGAGTTGACTGAGATTGGATGACAATGCGTGTGTGACTAGACTACATGCAAGGACTATAAATGTCATTAGAGTAAAGCTTGGAAGAACCCTCAAAGCCCTAATCCACAACATGAAGTCTTCCAATCATTCTGAAAAACCTACAACCAGGAGAGGAAAAAATAGATAAATGGGACCTTCTAAGAATCAAATCCCTGTGCACATCCAAAAACTTCTCCAACAGGGTAAAAAGGGAAGCCACAGACTGGGGGAAAAGTGTTTGGTAATGATATGTCAGATAAAGGTCTTATATCTAGAATTTATAAAGTACTTGAGCACCACAGCAAGATAAAAGTAAATAACCCAATTGAAAAAGGGGCAGAGGATATGAGCAGACACTTCACCAAAGAAGACATTCAGATGGCAAACACACACATGAAGAAATGTTCAAAATCCCTAGCTCTAAGAGAGATGCAAATCGAAACAACTATGAGATATCATCTCACCTCAGTCAGAACAGACAGACCCTTATATTAGTGATCTGGGAGCTTCCCCTCCCCTTCTCTTGTTTGCAAATTTGTTGCTACAAACTTCTGCTTCTCACAAATTGTTGTATGCTCTATTCCCACTTTTTATCCATCCCATGTCTTTGTCCATCTCCCCTGAGATTTTGCTCTGTGGGCCCTGTATTACTTAGCTTGGTGGGGATTAATTTCTAAATGTTTGAATATTTATTTTTTTCTGTTTCCTATTCCTCGTTTGATCCACTGCAGATGAGTCACTCAGTCTGTACATTACAGTCTTTTCAAATATATTGAGGCTTGTTTCATGGCCCAGGATGTGATTAATCTTTGTAGATGACCATGGTCACGTGTCAAGAATGTATATTCATGGATGTTGAATAGAATATTACACAAATATTGATTATTCTCATGGTCTTGTCTAATTCTCATATCCCTTCTGATCTCATGTCTAGTTGTTGTGTCAATTCTTGAGATACAGATTTATGTCTAGTTATCAATTTTAAAATTTCCTATTTGTAGTTGCAAGTTGTTGAAGATAAATTGTAATTTGTTTATTTTGGTTTTTTGTTCCAGAACGTTTTGTTTTACATATTGTGCAGTGCTATTGTTTGATGTATAAACTTAAGAGTGCTATATATTTTTGGAGGTCTGTCGCCATTCAGAAGAGTCTTGAACATACCATGGACTGCCAAGAAAACAAATAGGTCTATCTTGGAGAGACTGAAACCGAGTTTCTCCTTGGAGGCTAGGATTTTGAAGCTCTGGCTCACTTACTTTGGGCTCATGGTCCTTGGAGAAGGACATCATGCTCAAAACAGTGGAGAGACAGAGCAGGAGAGGAAGACCCTGAATAAAATGAATTGATACAGTAACTAGGACAATGGGGGTTGGTGTATCAGAATTAGTGAGACTGGCTCAGGACAGGGCAGGGTTCAGAGCTGCTGTACATAGGGTTCCTATGGGTCGCAAGCGACTCAACAGCACATAACAATATCAACATATATTCTTGGTAGACGAACCTTTTAATTTTTTTTTAATTTTATTATTTTGCATGTGTGTGTACCATCAAATTGGATCTGACTGGTATAGGAGGAGATTGCCCCTCCTTCTCCAGCAGAGCATCTGGTGGATTCGAACCATGTGCCTTCAGGATTGCAGTGCAGCTTCTTGTCACTAGGCCACCAGAGCTCCCTTACAAACCCTTTATTGTTATATAATATCTTTCTCTGCCCCTGGTAAATGTCTTGATTCTAAAGTCTGTTTTAATTTCGCTTCTTTATTGTTTTCGATTACTTGCTAGTCCTAAAAAAGCTGGACCATGAATAGGGATGATAGAGAATTGATGCATTTGAGCTATGGTATTGGAGAAGAGTATTGAATATGGACTGCCAGGAGATAAAACAGGTTCATCCTAGAGAGGATGAGACCAGGCTACTCCTCCGAGGCAAGGATTCTGAGGCTTCACCTGACATACTTTGAGCATGTTACAAGAAGGGACCAGGACATCATGCTTGGAAGGGTGGAGGAACAGCCCAGGAGAAGAAGACCCTCGATGAAATGGATTCAGTGACTGGGGTAATGAGGGTTGGCATGTCAGAGACAATAAGGTTGGCACAGGATAGGGCAGGCTTCAGGCCTGTTGTACAGAGGGTTGCTATAAGTCACAGCGACTTGACAGCACGTAACAACAACATTGTCAGGCAGCACCATTGGCATTAGAGATACACAGAAACATCTCTGGCATACTCACACTAGATGCCAGTAGCACCCTCAGCCTGTGATCATCAGAAATGACCCAGACATTGTCAAATATCCTCTGAGGGAAAAATTGTTTTCCTTTCCTCCACTGAGAACTGCCGGGGAATAAGGAATAGCAAGGAGGAGAACCTTGAAACTATGTCAACAGGAGAGATGAAAAAGCAGAGGCATCCTTTGGAAGGCTAGAACAAGGACCAGCTACCAGCACATGTTCTCACATGTTAATCTCAAAGGCCCCTGTGGTCAGCTCTATCTTCATCTTACAATGATGGCTTTATCTGCCATTCGACCAGTTTGTCATGTTGTTGTGAGCCAGTGACCTGAGTAAGCTATGATGCGAGAAACTGCTGCATTTTAAAATCCCAGCAGGATACCCTGGTGGACAGGTTTCCAAGGAGCTTCCACACTAAGACAGGCTAGGAAGAGGACTTAGCAATCTACTTCCAAACATCGACAGTGACAATTCTGTGAACCTCAGCACGATACTGTCTGATCCGATTCAAGCCTGAAACCATTGTGAACGCAGCCCATGAGCCGGCTGCATGTCCCTCCCTTCATAGAGTTGTCACAAGTCAGGATAGACACACCAGTGCTAACAGCATGGCCCTGGCCCGATGCTCCCTGTCTCTGTGCCTACCAGCCTTGCTCTGAGAGGAGGTACACAAATGACTCTGTCATGGTGTCAGCTGCTGGTTTTAACAAGGAAACAGGATGTTTCTGAGCAACACTGTAAGGCCCGGGCTAGTCCACATTCCTAATCCGTTTTTAGCCAGGTTGTGTTGCCAGGCTGCTTGGTGACGAGGGCTGAGAGGGGGAAGGCACCCAGGGTCTCATGCTCTGATGCTTCTACATGGTCAAGAGCATCCACTCGTTGTGCAGAGATGTCTCTGCTGTTGGGGAACCGTGGGGCTGCCCGGCACTCTGTACTGACCAGCGCCCAGGTAACAGGGAAGTCCTCCACTGGCTTCCTTCCAGGAAACACAGTGAGGAGGAACCATCAGTCACCAGGAATGCCAGTCCTGAGCTTTCATTCAAACTTGACCTTCCATAGGAAAAAGCATTCAAAAAACTATGCTTAGAGATTGATGAATTCCACTCCAAGAATAATTCTCCTTTTACTATCAAGTGGCAAGGTACTTTCCAACCTCATCACTCACGCTGCTGCTGTTGTCCACTGGGAGCCTGTTTATGAAGCGCCTATGAATAAAAGATGCGAAGGCCCGTCTTACCTGGGCTGAGCAGAAGCCGGCGTAGAGCGAAAGGGGCAGAGAGGAGCTTTTCCCAGGAACACCAGCACTTCCTAACACCGGCATTAATCTGACCATCCCCTCGTGCAGCCCCTGTGTTCATGTCCATTGCTATGGAGACGCCAAAGCAACCCTTCACTAAAGATGAAAGGCTCACCCAGGACCAGGCCTTGAAGTGGATGATGCCTCACAGATTTGCTAGCAGACGGGCACTCTTCTCCAGGGGCTCAGAACAGAACTGCTGCAGCAGACGGCAGCTAAGGCTCCGTGGCCTTGAGTTCCAGGGACATGTAAGTGGAAGAACAGGTGCGTGTGGCCACCACCCTTCTCCAGGACTCGCCGGGAGAGGCAAAGCAGAGAAGTGTACTAGACTAGCCGAGCTCCACTTGGAGCTGTCCTCCTCTCCCCTCAGGCAGAACCTTGTCCACTAACCACGGGCCAAGGTGATATCACCTTATGAATGCAGAAGGGGATATGGACAAATGACCACAAACCTTCAGGAGGTGAGGAGTTACCAAGGGGAAAGGAACCCGGCCAGGAAGAGGACAGTGTTGTCCATCGTCGGGGGAAACGCAAACAGGCTTTGGTAAAGGCTCGTAATCCCCAATAGTGAGTGTGATGGCAGCCAGCGGGGAGCCCTCCCTCTGCTCCCAGCCGCTCCCCACGCCTGTCAGAATGCTGGGCTGGATTGCAGCCTTTTCTCCTTGTCTGGAGGGGCTGCTTTGGTACAGGTGTCCCCTCTGTCCAGGTGGACCTTCCTGGCAGCAAGCCTCTCTCCACATGGAGCCTGCGTGTCCAGGCCGATGGTCACTGTCTCTTATGTTCCAAATAAAATGTCCCAATGACCACAGACAGTCATTCCTCCAAAAATGGCAGAACCCCGAAGTTCCTGGGGCCCAGCCCAGGGCCAGTGTGTCCTAGGCACTCAATTGACGGGTGAGGGGCCAAGCCTGAATGGAGAGCGGATGAACAGATGAAGACACGTGACAGATGGCTAATGGGGCTGGTTCAGTAAGCACCTGTGCTCCCCAGTTAATAATAGATGAACAAGCAAACAAGACACACAATGTCTGCTAAAAATCAACAAGAGTATAAACTGTTCTGTTCCCTTGTAAGCTGCACTCTATACACAAAATCCTTTCTTACAAATATGCACCTGCTTTTTGCAAACATAATACCAAGGGTCCTGATGCAGATGGTTTCAAGCCAAGGCTGCCTCCCAGGGCTGCCAGAACTGCTATGTGGGCGGGTCAGAGGGCTCCATGGCCCACCCACCCAGCTGCACCACCAGCCCCAAGCAAAGCCTCTGCCCCCGCTGATGAGAAGGGAGTAGAATTCCATGCCAAGGACAGAATTTCCTGAGGCATTAATTACCGCCAGCCCACACAGCTTCATCATTTCTCACATATCACCGAGGAGGGGTTGCTGGGCGAAGCCGCTGCTTCGGGGACAGTGGGCAGCTGACGGCTGCAGGGGTGGATGGTGGGATGTAAAGACAAGAGAAAGTGTGTTTCTACCTGGCCCTATGTCATCCTTCCAGTCACTCCAGTCCACACAGTGGCCCTCTCCACCTTGGCAAGATGTGTGTGGATCTTAGCGCTGCAGAGTAGACATTCCCTCCCACTCAGCTATCCCTCTGCTTCTGCTAACTTCCCCTTTCCCCGAGTCTTTCCAAAGGGAAGATGCTCTGGTTCAAATCTGACCCTCAGCGCAGCCTTCCCTGGTGAAGACCGTCAGGACACACCCAGCCTTCTAACACGAGCTCTGACATCCCACTGCCAGGTCCCAACGTGCCTACGTTCTGTGCGATGATGCACCAGGGGAATCGCAGGACACGGGAGGCCGCTCTTCTCCAGAGCACAGAACAGATGTGCCGCATTGAGCTCACAGCATGAGGACACCAGCAAGGCCAGGAAGTCACCCCGCTCCCTTCAGTCAGTGTCTGCTCATGGTGCCCTCAGCTCCGAGCAGAGCAGTCCCCCAGGGTCACCACGGTCGGCTTTGTGGAAGCAGACTGCCAGCCCTTCCTGCAAGGTTCCTGAGGGTGGACTTGAGCCTCCAACTGAGGACATTTATCATCTCCACTGCTGCTTCTCCAAGGAAGGCCCGGAGCCCAGGCAAGAGCCGTCCTCAGAGGAGCCCTCACAGCCTGAAGCCGCCTGGGCCTTGCAGACCCCCAGGCAGGGGCGCGATTCCCTAAATGTTGGGTGAACAGGAAGTCCTGTCCCCACTTCTAGTCCTAATGGAAAACTGGGGCTTCCTTCTCATTCTCTGTTCCCACTGCATTTCCACACACGCGGGTGACCGTGCAAGTGCACGTCGTGTAGATACAGGACAGAGAGTTCTGAGACATAAAGTTGTATTCACTTTTTTACCAGTTGTTGAGATTTTATCTAGCTAGCAAGTAACAAACATAAATGTCAGTCCAGTGTTCCCCTCTATTGTGATTAAGGAACTAATATTTGGGGTTTCCTATGTCACCTGAAGTTCTGAGGACTTCAGGTCCGCCCAGAACACCCTGAGAATGAGAGTCACCACTTCCCAGGTCTCTGAATAGTCTGGGATGAGCTGAAGCCACAGGGAAGCACGATGTTGACGGGGAGGAGAAAAGCTCAAGCGTGTGCTGGTTCAGAAGGTCCCAGGCACGGCTGTGCCTACAGAAGTCCCACTGCCACTGTGGTCTGTGGCCGTGCCAGCTCACAAGGGAGTCTAGGAAATGGCATTTCAGACTTGAGGTGTCCTCTGTGAGCAGGAGGCTGTCCAGGGGCTTCTCTCTCCCGAGCATCCCTCCTGTGTCCCCTCAGTGCTGAGCCAGCTCCCTTGACCATGCACAACCAGGCCAAAGGCTCTTTCATCTCGGCCCGCGATGTGCATGAGGCAGCCGCAGTGTCCGTCATGCAGACCATCACACAGACAAGAGCGCCTGCTCCTGGCAGGGATGGAGGGAAAGGGTGCACTCGTGGTCACATGATTACCAAGGGTCAGCGCAGAGTGCGGGACCTCCCAGCCAGCATTCTGCTATCTGTGCAGACAGGTGTGTGTGTGTGTGTGTGTGTTAGAGTACTGTGAGGACGGGAGTGTGTACGTGTGTGCCAGTGATGTGTCCGTGCGTATCAAGGTGAGAGTGTGGTACAAGTGTGTGGGGAGGGTGTGAGCTGGTCTGTATGTGTGTGCAAGCGTGGGTGTGAGTGAGTGTGTGCAGGTTAGTATAGGTCAGGGGAAGACCCTCTATGAGATGGATTGATTCGGTGACTGGGGTAATCGGGATGGGTGTGTCAGAGGCGGTGCAGTTGGCGCAGGATAGAGCAGGGTTTAGGGCTGTTGTGCATAGGGTCGCTATGAGTCGGAAACGACTCGACGGCACATAACAACAACAACATGAGATAGAATATGCTGTTTGTGTTAGTGTATGAGTGTGTGCACGCCTCAGTGAGCACGTGTGAGGTCATGTGTGTCTGCACGTGTGCACAGATAGCTCAGGTGTGCAGACTCAGCTCTGTGCATCTCTCCGCCAATCCTCAGGGACCCCTCTGCATCTTTGCTGGCCGGCCTCCACCCGAGCTGTGCTTGGGTGTCTGTTTCCAGGTGGTGGCACTTCCACATTCTGATGGGATCGTATTCTCATTTGATGGTTGTCCTGGGGCACAGCAGCAGTGTCCCCCCAAAGTTCACAGAGACACTGTCAACAGCACAGCCACTCAGGGGCCTGTGTCAGGCAAGGTCTCAGGGCCACACAGCCCCCAGGGGTGGATGGGGTTTGTGCAGAATTCCGAAGGTTTTTGGCGTGCTCCCACTTAGAGTTCTTGATGGGTGAATTTGTTGTAGGAAAATGCTGATTCTTTTCTATTAATGCTTTCTCTCATTTGTTGTTATTGTCTGGTGTCTTAATTTAAATGTATTGAGGTTTATGTCACAGACCCCCAAAAAGCATGAATTTAAATATTTTGGACACATAACAGGGCACTGACCAACCAGTCACCTTATAGAACATTGTTATCACTCAAGAAAGTGCTCTGACCCACACCAGGATACTGGAGACCCCTGGCCTTCTTTGTGGTCTAGTGATCACCTGTGCCACTTCTAGACTTTAATATGGAGACGATTTTGCAATATGCGCATACCTAGATTTTGACTCCTTGGCCATGGGGAGTTGTACTGCACACCCAACGGTGGCGTCTCTCTGCCAGCTCAAAGCTGCCAGCGGCTCCTACGGAGGAAGATGAGCAATCTCGTCCCGCATGTTTACATCCTCTGAAAGCCCGCTGGACGGCCAGCCACGCTCCAGTCCCAACCCAATCAGTGAGAGGGCGGGAGTGCGCTAAGTACAACGTTTTTTAGGATCCATGTAGGCTTTATGACTATAAGCATTTTCCTTTTTACTGATGAGTTGTTGTTACATGCCATCAACTAGAAATTTGTTCATAATTGACTCCAGCTGTTTTTCAGACCCTAAATCACTTGGGAGGAGACTACCCTTCTTCTTTCTCCCAAGATGTAGCTGATGGATTTGAACCACCAGCCTTTGCATTGATAATGCAATTCTTTATCCACTAGGCCACGAAGCTCCCTTCCTTTTCCTTACTAAGTTATATTTCACTCTGTAAATGAACAACTCTGCTTTCTGAAACTGAGGAGGACCTGAAGCGCTTGCTGCAGAGGGTCAAGGACTGCAGCCTCCAATATGGATTGAGGTTCAATGTCAAGAAGATGAAGATTCTCTCCACTGGGCCAAATGGCAGCATTAGGATGGATGGTGAGGCGCTTGAGCTTGTTCATAGTTTTAGTTTGCTTGGCTCCACAGTCAACACTCTTGGCACCAGCAGCCAGGAAATTAAAAGGCGTATTGCCATGGGAAAGTCTGCAGTTAGGGACCTCTCCAAAGTACTGAAGAGCAATGGTGTCTCTCTGGAGACTAAGGTGCGTCTGATACAGGCCATGGTCTTGCAATCACTTGTTATGCATCAGAGAGTTGGACAATGACTAAGGAGGATAGAAGGAGGATTGATGCCTTTGAGCTGTGGTGCTAGAGAAAAGTATTGAAGGTACCATGGACTGATAGGAAAACAGATTCATCCTGA